GAATGTCATGATGGACACCAAGTTGTCAGAAGGATCTGTCATGATCTCATCTAAAGTCACTACTTCAACTGCTTCTAACGAGTCTGCTATGATCTCAACTAAGTCACCTCAGGGGTCTCCTTTCTTTAAGTCACCTCAGGGGTCTTCTTCCTTTAAGCCCAACAAAGAGGGGCGTTGGTGCAATTATTGTAAAAGACCAGGTCACACAAAAGATATTTGCTACCGTCTTCATGGGAGGCAGCAGGTTTTAGAGAAGCTTGGTAAGCCATCCTCACGTGAAGATTTGAGACGTGGTCAATCTTTCTTGACCCCTTCAGACATTCCTCCGGTGAATGAGACACAGATGCCTGGTGAGTTTACTACTGTTCGTCGTGAGGAATTGGAACGGCTCAGGTTCATACATGACTCCCTCAATAAATCTTCTGGTACTGGTACTTTGGCCATGACTGGTAAGAACTCATGCACTCATTCTTTTATCGCTTCTTGTACTGATTTCAAAACTTCATGGATTGTGGATTCTGGTGCTACTGATCATATGACTTGCTGCAATGATCTTTTTCCTTCTTATAATCCTACTGTTGGTCTCCGTACAATAGTCGTAGCTGATGGATCACACACATTAGTTGCAGTTCTCGTAATATTAAAATCTAACCCTCCTAGTATCTCAAGAATGCTCTCCATGTTCCCCACCTATCTACCAATCTCCTTTCTACTCATAAGCTTACTACAGATTTGAATTGCACAGTAACCTTTTTTCCTACTCATTGTGTTTTTCAGGATCTCGCCACGGGGAAGACGATTGGAGTTGCTAAGGAGCAGAGTGGGTTGTATTATCTAGTTCCAGATTTTGCTGCAGAAGGTACCAGGGATTAGACTTTGATGACTCGTCAACCTATATCAGATTCTCTTATTTGGCTTCATCACAAGCTCTTGGGTCATCCTTCTTTTAGTTTACTTAAGTCTATGTTTCCGTCTTTGTTTATGTCGCAGTTTGTTGAGTCTTTTAATTGTGATGTCTGTCAATTTGCAAAACATCATCGTGTATCTTTTCCTTCTAGTGAAATAAAAAGTGTTGAACCTTTTACCATTATACATACTGATGTTTGGGGACCCTCCAAGGTACCTAATGTTTCTGGTGCTAAGTGGTTTGTTTCTTTTATTGATGATTATACTCGGACTACATGGATCTTCTTGATGAAAGATAAGACAGAAGTAACACAGTTGTTTATCCAGTTTTATTATATGATTGAAACTCAATTTGGTAAACGTATCAAACCCTTGAGATCAGATAATGGTACCGAATATATTAATCAACATCTTTCTCAGTTTATTAAAGAGAAAGGAATGGTTCATGAACTCACATGCGTGGATACCCCTCAACAAAATGGGGTTGTTGAACGGAAAAATAGACATTTGCTTGAAGTCACCAGAGCATTATTGTTTCAGACATCTGTGCCCAACTCTTACTGGGGAGAAGCTGTATTAACTGCAGCCTATTTGATCAACCGCTTACCTTCCAGAATCCTTGGTCATGTAAGTCCTGTTGATCTCATGACCTCTTTTTTCCCTTCTGTCACAATCATGCAGAGTCTTCAATCTCGTGTCTTTGGATGCGTTGTCTTTGTCCATGTCCATAAACAACATCGGAGTAAATTAGAGCCTAGAGCCCTTGAGTGTCTTCCTTGGTTATGCTCCCAACAAGAAAGGATACAAATGTTATCATCTTCCGAGTCGTAAATTCTTTGTGACTATGGATGTTAGCTTCCATGAATCTGAGTCATATTTTCTACCTCCTCAGCTTCAAGGGGAGAACAATATTGAAGCTCCTTCTTTTTTCTTTGACTCTGAGTCTTCCCTTCTGTTACCTCCATCATCTCCTAACCCAATGGTTACACCATATGACAATGCGAAGGAAGACTTAGTTGATGAGGCTGAAAGCTCATCTGATTCCTCTTGTGACATGCCTCCAATTGATCGACAGAAAGTACGCAAAGTTGGGACACCTGAACTATTTTACCAAAGAAAGAAACAACCCACACTGTCCCACCAGCAACTGCATTCGCCTGAACCGCTGGTAAGTACTAAAAACACTACTTTTGTTCCTGAGCCTGATATTAATTTTGTTGACTTACCCATTGATGCAAGAAAAGGGAAAAGGTCTTGTACCCAACACCCTATTTCTCATTTTGTCTCCTCTAAGAATCTCTCTGTGCAGCATAGAAGCTTTATTACAGCACTTGACTCCATTTCAATCCCAAAATCAGTACATGAAGCATTAAAGGATGAAAATTGGATTCAAGCCATGAATGATGAGATGAATGCATTAGAGAAGAATAATATATGGGAAGTCGTTGACAGGCCTAATGACAAAAGGGCAGTAGGATACAGATGGCTATATACTCCGAAATATAATTCTAATAAAACTCTTGAAAGGTATAAAGCTCGACTGGTTGCCAAGAGATACACACAGACCTATGGCATTGAATACGAAGAAACATTTGCTCCAGTGGCCAAAATGAACACTGTAAGAGTTCTATTGTCCCTTGCTGCTCATTCTAATTGGGATTTGAGACAATTTGATGTAAAAAATATCTTCCTCAATAGCGAATTAGAAGAAGAGGTTTACATGGAGATTCCACCAGGATTTAACTCCACAAATGGAGAAAACAAAGTTTGCAGGTTAAAGAAGGCATTGTATCGCTTGAAGCAATCCTCGCATGCTTAGTTTGGAAGATTTACAAAAGTTATGCTTTCATTGGGGTACAGACAAAGTCAAGGAGATCATACACTTTTCTTTAAACATTCTCAAGAAGGTAAGCTCACTATCCTTCTTATTTATGTTGATGACATTAGTACAACAGGGGATAATATAGATGAGAAGCATGCTCTGCAAGAAAGATTGACTGCTGAATTTGAAGTTAAAGACCTTGGAAAACTGAGATATTTTCTTGGGATAGAAGTTGCTCATTCAAAGCAAGGGATCTTTATTTGTCAACGGAAGTATGTTCTTGATCTCCTTAAAGAAATAGGAAAACTTGGGTGTAAACCTAAACCTTCCAGTACTCCAATTGAGCAGAATCACAAACTAGGGAGTGAGAATGAGAGTCCTCCAGTTGACAAAGGACAGTACCGTATAGTGGGGAGATTGATATACCTGGCTCACACTAGACCTGATCTAGCTTATGCAGTTAGTATTATTAGTCAATTCATGCATGATCCGAGGGAAAAACATCTGCAGGTTGTAGATAGGATTCTCCAATATCTAAAAGGCACACCAGGCAGAGGACTATTATTCCAGAGAGGAGGAAACTTATCCTTAGAAGTGTATACAGACACAGATTATGCTGGATCCGTGACTGACCAACGGTCTACCTCAGGCTATTGTATGTTTCTCTGTGGAAATCTCATAACATGGAGAAGTAAAAAGCAAAATGTGGTTGCTAGGTCGAGTGCAGAAGCAGAATTTCGAGCCATGGCTCAAGGTATCTATGAGTTATTATGGCTGAAAATCATTCTAGATGATCTAAATGTGAGGTGTGAAGGGTCTATGAAGTTACTCTGTGATAACAAAGCAGGTTTTGGGTTTATTTTATAACATCAACATTAAATTAGCAAGGCTGCATATAAAGATTTCACTCACCCCTATTCTCACAAGTTAGAGTTTCATAGGGAGTGGTTTAATCATCATCAAGGTAACTCTTCTTTGATACAGTTAAGGATAATGACAAACCAGTTGCTTAGCATAAATCTATCTGTCAAATCAGAGCTGCAGGAATGGCATTATGAAAATAAGGTTTGTGCAATATGCCAAGAAAACAGGAGAGATTCTAGAGCAAAGTGATTAATCTAAAAGAGCAAAGACAGAATAACATAAGATGAAGGAGAAGCAGAAAATCCAACTATTAATTGTCTACATGTGTCCCAATTCATAATCAACACTGCAGCTTACCATGCTGTACAGATTCAACTTCTTCTAACAGACAAGAAAATGACAGAATGCTCTGTGCCAGTATATTTAGCAAGGCACAAGCTGTCTGATAGAAGATCAGGAAGTTGATTACAGAAAATGGGAATAATCCCCAAGTACAGAAATCAGATAATCAGAATCACAGAAACAGACTCAGACTAGGCTAGCCCTTTGAGGGGAAAGCTCCCTCCTAACTCACCTCTTGTTAAGCGGAATTCTAGAGGGGGCAAAATTGTAGAGAATATGGAATACTAAGATCGACAGTATTTAAATCCTTTAAAGTTTTAATTGACACTATTTGGAATACTTGTTTGGAATGATAGTGATAATATATTCAATTATGAATTTCTATCATTACTTTTGAGCATTATATCTATATAAAAGGTTCATGCATAGGACCTCGTTGTTGCTCTATACGCTTCTACAGCTATAGTGTTTTCGGGGATCAGCTGCCACCCACTTCTACTATGTTCTAATTGATTTCCCTCTCCTCCTCCCTGACCTGCCACGTCAGTATTTTGGGACGCTCAACTCTATCAGCATGATTATTCTCCACATTCCCCATCTACCCTTATTGTTTTCGAGGAGTAATCCACTCCATACATTACATTCCTACCCTTGTCACCTTACACCTTAATACCAGGGGGTCTACTGGACGTCCATACTGACATTGACAATAAGGCAGAAATTCGGTGTCTAGCCTGAGGAAGGATGGTGAGAATGACAACAGTTATCTATGATGAAATATAACCTCCTTTATGGATGCCTGCCACACATTCACCTGGATAATTAATCCCAAAGAGACAGATTTTCTGTATAGGAACAAATATCAACTTTACATCTACATTTAGACCGTGGATAATATTGAGGCTCTTAATTAAATTAATAGTTAAGCTTCCTTCCTTACTTGCAATGCAAGATGAAGGCAATGTTACCAAATTTTACGGTAGTGATATGGAAGATTCAGTAATAATGATTGTAGTAGCACAACTAATTTAAGAGACATTTGGTTTAATCCCCTTAATATACATACAAGTTCGTCCAGAGCAACAGACTTGATAGAATGATGTGATTTGAGACCAATCCGTACAATTTTAGGGCAGTAAGCATGGTCGTTTTCATCATGGACACCTGAGAATAACAATTAAAAACTAAATAAGTAATCATATTAAAATCATATAAATATCAGAAATTCTCAAAAGAAAAACCAAATGGAGGAATTAATAAATAATTAAAGAAAAATAAACATTAGAATAGCAAGGTTAGTTCAGTCTCTGCTTATATGATGGTACCCAACCAAAACAACACTAAAATAATAACAAAATACTTCTATTAATTCAATAGTTCACTGCATACAACTCTTATAACAATTCCAACAGTATCCTTAACAGAGAAATGACAGCAGCAAATTACAGTAACAAAACAGAGCAATGACACAAAACATTTAATGGTAAATGACAGACTCTATGACTCCTCCCTCTACAGACTACCTGTCTTCAAATGGCCAAACCTCCTTTTCCAGCTACTGAACACCACGTCCAGCAACTACCCACACACCCTACCATATGAATATTCTCCACACCCACCACTTTATCTCTCCTTCCTCTATACCTCCTTGACAACATCCAAATCTTCTTCACACGCACTCCCCACTACTACTCCATTCATTGCTTGCCACATGGCTTCCTCATTTGCCTTTATTATCAATTGGTTATTCTCCATCATTTGGGCTCTTCTTCTCCTCACATGAGTTCTTTCAAACGGTTGCAAGGGCCCATCAATATATAATTAATTACAAAGTCTAACAATTGGCTACACAACTTGGAGGTAATAACATCTTCCTATCATCACTGGCATCAAATAGAAAACAAAGAACGGGGTAAAACTCACAATGCATCTTCTTTTTTAAATACAACAAATTTCAATTCTGCGAGTTTCGGAGCTTTTAGCATTGTACTCGAATGCAGAATTACTTTCAGTTGACTAATTATGAAATTCAGTGTGTTATGTGAACAGTCCTTGGCACCCTTTTACTCTAGTAGCATTGTCACATCAAGCAAGTAAATGTAATGCAAAAGCATATCCCTTTTCCCCAAAATGAATGCATTCAAATAACAGATATTATTTAACATCAAGAAATTAAGCTAACTGTGCTTACTGTTCCTTCACATACAAGAAAAACTTCATACCTCCATTGAGAACCCGCAACACAATCTCATCCAAGGCAGAGTTTGATGGGGCACATACTAGCACTCTTACACGATACTTACGACTTGAAGTTATAGCTTCAGGTTTCTGATAAAACCCATAATTAGAAGATATTGTTGCGTAAAATCAACAATCTGAACTAGTGAAAAGTACTTACTAATTCATTTCCAGTAGTTGGGAAAAAGCCATCATCACCATCTTTCGGCATCAAACTATCCCTTGGATTAATACCATTAAACCATGGAGACGCCAGTCCCCAATGTTTGTATCTGCCAAAGGAAAAGGCAATAGAAAAATCATACAAAAACTTCTAGCAAGATTAAATATTAAAAGTGTAATCTACTAACAAAGCTAATAACAGAAAATGAGAAAGAGTGCAGAAAAGAAAGAGAGCGAAGAGGAAACTGTTTCTCTGAGAAATCTGATTCTGATTCTGATCATGTAGTACATCACTAGTTCATACAAAGGAAGATTGAATAACTGCTGGTAACTAACTAAGCTAACTCAGTGGAGTCTGAGCACAGCCAACTAACAAACCTAAATAATAGTAATAAGCTAACATCATAACAGAAGAGTAACACGACAAGTATATACGAAAATACAATACAGTCAGCAAACCTATTTACTAAAAGCTAGTATAGCAACTACTTTGTTCTACTTTGGTTGATCTAAAGGGCAAAAGTGGTTACCATCCCAAATTGATTCTAGAATGAATGAATAGGATGCATTTGGATAACTTTGAAAAAGAACACTTTAAGGATATAGCTTTATGTAGAGCTTTTTTCAGAAGCTAGTATTTTTGGCTTCTAATAAAAGCATTAAAACAGCTTATTTTATGTTTAAACATGTTTTCCAATTTTAAAAAGGGAGAGGTTATACTTACAACCTATTTTCCTTTACAACCTCTTACAACCAATATCTTAACCGTTGATTTTCGTCAATCAACGGTTAAGATTTTTGCAAATAAAATTTATTAATTAATTATTAATCCGCAATAAATCTTAACCGTTGATTGGCGGAAATCAACGGTTAAGATATTGGTTGTAAGAGGTTGTAAAGGAAAATAGGTTGTAAGTATAACCTTCCCCTTTTAAAAATGCTTTTTTCTTTAAAAAAGTAGAAACAATCAGACCCTAAAGATGGTACAGTGGTATAACACTAGCTGACAAGGTGAAATTAATCAACAAGGAGATTGCAGAGTATATAATTTAAACAGGAACGGAAGGCAATGCCATTAAAAATAAGGATCTATGTTGGTTAATCAGGAAGTTCACTAACCAATTATAACTAATGATATTGAATTCTTCTTAAATTACAATGAAACTAGGATGAAAGAAGGAGCCGATATGCATAAGGGATACTAAGGAGGACATAATCAACTTCATCATTTTGAAGGTGGACTGCCATAAGAATATGGACCTGTCATTCTTACCCTCAGACAAAAAAAACTGACTTATCAGGACCAAAGACATCAACCATCCAGACTTGTACTTTAAACAGAATTTTATATTAAATAAAAACCTACTTTTGAATATTCTGATCTAAATACTTCCTTTGAACCTCGGAGCATAGTTGTCAATAGCAGTTAGCGGCCGGTAGCGGCCGACCCCGAAAATGGTATAGCGGTGTAGCGGGTAGCGGTATTACCGCTACGGTGAAGTATTAATTCCACATATATTATACTAACAGTCAAGAAACGAGACAATACCGCTTTTAGTATTAATGCTCAAACATAAGAAGTCACACAAAATCAAACACATAATTCCACAATCAATGTCAAATACAAGGAACATAAAGGAAGGATCCAAAATTAAACACAACTGAACAATAAAATTGTCAAATTGTCAAGTACAAGAAGTGAACTAATAAAGAAAATCATCATCATCTTCGGATTCTCCATCAAATTCCAACATGGGAGTGGTGTAGCGGGTAGAGGTATTGCTGCTACGCTACGCCGCTACCTTCCGCTACGGCCAATGTCGCGTAGCGTCGCGGTTTGTAGCGGCCGACCGCCGCTACCCGCTACGGTAGCGGTTTAGCGGCGCTACAGGTTGCTACTGACAACTTAGCCTCGGAGAATTTTAAAATACACTTAAGCCAGTCTGTTCTCTCTCCTCATCGTCCTTCAACAATGCAGCTATCAAAAAGTGATTTCCCAGATCTCTAGCTTGTATAAGCCATAAGTCTGGAAAATGTGCCCTAATCTTTAAACAATCATCCCAGTTTCACATGATGCCATGCACTTAGTTACAACTAGTTTTAAATGTTTTCAATAAATCAGTTTTCACCCATATCGCACTTCTAATTTGATTCAAAACATTTTTAAATATGAACTAGGGAAGACAAGCATTGCCACAGAACTAACATGTATAAAACACTAAGCAAGGAGAAATCAAGAATGAAAAGAACAAACAAAAATAATTTAAAAGATATCCAAACAAGGAAATAAAAAGAAATATCATGTCAGAATCACAGGAGAACCAACATCCACAACATGAAGTTTTCTTAAGCAAGTAAAGGCCAAGATATTCTCAAAGCAAAACTTACTTCTCCTCAATTGGTAATTGTGGCCCCCGCTTTAGCTCGTAGGTCCTGCTCCTAAGAAGCAAATATAAATAAAGATATGTATGAACAAAGAAATATGAGGCAAAAATGTTAGCATACAAATTGCTGGTATCCTTAAGACGTGGTCGGTAAAAGAAAAATTTGCTTCAAAATTTCAACTCTACCAGGTACACTCTTAACATAATGTTTTGCACAAGATGACAATAGAAACAAGAAACAGAATTATTAGATATAGAAGACTACAGAAAATTATAAAGACATTATACTTACTTTGAATGCACTCTTGTTGGAGTTGAATGCAAAATGGTACTTAGAAGCCCAAGTATGGTTTGAGTCTTCCCAGTCCCTGGGGGCCCCTAAAAGAAGTTGCTTAGACTCAATTACGAGTTTTTATCAAAAAGGAGAAACTACCATGCATTAATCAAAACCCAGACAGATTTCTCACGGATATCTAGAAAGGACCAAGCTTCAGCAAAAAATCTAAAAAAAAACCTAGTGACATGATATATACAAGGAAAAAGTGTTTGTCATTTTAAGAGAGAGATAGATACAAGGAATGGAAATAATGGGGGAGAAAGTGAGTGGTTTTTTTTTTAATTTAAATTTTAAATAAAAAATATTATTATGTGTCTATCTCTCTCCTAAAATGACATAACTTATGTCATTTAAAATGACAAACATCAAACCCTATATATAAACATCATAACTTATTTTGCAGCAGTAATAATGTTGGAAATAATGTAAATAGGTTGATAATACTGTGAGGGATAAATAAATTACAAACTCTGACCCAACACCTATTGACCTAGCTTTGTATTATAAGAAACACAAAATAGCAAAAGGATAAATTAGATCCCTTACAAGAACTGAACCAGATCATGGTTCATGATTTAACCAGTCTAACTGGCCAGACTGTTTCTTAGAACACTAAAAAAGACTGTTACTTGAAGGTCAAAAAGAAAAAATGACACTAATTTACTTTTTTCCTTAAGCCTTACAAAACATAATATTTTGCCAAAATCAGATAAATAAGCAGCCGCAGCAGAGCTTGAAATTGGCAGTTCTTTGTGATAAAGTTTTCCCAATTCCCAACTATAACAAAGCAATCTTCACAAAATAATTCAACATAAACATTACATCAAATATCACCTAAAAGAAATTACAAGCATAAGAAAGCATTAAAAGAATTTTGCAGCAGAAGCAAGGCTACACAGAGACAAACCTGTATCAGGACAAAGGCTTTTGAAGACAGACCAGCCTGCAACAGAGAAAAAAAAAATTGTGGAATAACGAAATGGTACATGAGTTTTATAAGAAAATCCTACACTGAGAAATGCGATAATGAGTTACTGTAGAATATTCTAGAGTTTCTTTTTAGAGTCTAGTCTCTTTGATTAGTGTGATGCCTCTTCGTTTGTTGTGTACTTTTATTTATTACTTCAACTCCTTAACTACCTTGTAATCTGTATATATAGAACCCTTTGGGTGTCAATCAATATATGAAAAACATTTTTGTCTTATATTTCATCATGGTATCAGAGCAGGTTATCCTGTGGTCATCTTGTAAACTTTCCACGTCTATTTTTCCTTTTTTTCTTTTCACTGATCGTCTTCTATAACCCAGATCTCATATCTGGACCGCTCCAATCACGAAACCAAGGCCACCACTGGACTCAGAAGCCATTTCCGAGTCGACCCACGTCAGCCCCGTCGCCGGAAAGTCAGCCACGCGCCGCCACAGCAGAGCAGCCTCTCCGGCGCGTGTGAGCCACGCGCCGCCCTGCCGGTCTCCGTTTGACACGCGGCTTTCACAGAACAGCTCGCCTGGCCTCCCTCTTCCTGTTCTGAGGGTTTAAATCACGATTGGAGCACTTTTTTTGCTGGGTCTTGTTGTTTCCTCTTCGTCAAGCTCGTCAAGCTTTGTTCTGAACGTTTTTTTTACAATGGAAGATGAAAATAATGAGGCTGAGAATAAGCATTATGACAAATCACCTGGTGGAGTTTCCGGTGTCTCTCCTCCTCCCTATTTTTCGTCTTCCGGAGACAACCCAGCTATACAGATTACAAACCACCGTTTAAACGGTAAGAATTATGTGCAATGGCATCAATCTGTCAAGCTGTTTATCCAAGCAAAAGGGAAAATAGGGTATCTTGATGGAAAAAAGGAAAAACCCGAAGCTGATGAACCTGATTATGATAAATGGATGACTGAAAATGCCTTGGTCATGACCTGGTTAACTAACTCCATGGATCCTGATATCAGTCAAACTTATTTGTTTCTTGATACGGCTCAGGAAATTTGGGATGCCGTTAAAGAATATTATTCTGACTTGGGCAATGCTTCTCAGGCTTTTGAACTCAACACCAAGGTAAGAGAGTTACATCAAGAGAGGATGTCTGTTACTGAATACTTTCTTGCTTTAAAAACTCTGTGGCAGGAGTTGGATCTTTATGATGCAGCAGATCTTCAAGGTTTAGAAGCTAATGGAAGGTTTAAGAGTTACTTAGAGAAAAGACGTCTCTATGATTTTCTTGCTGGCCTTAATCGTGATCTTGATGATGTTCGTGGTAGGATATTGGGTCAGAACCCATTACCTTCCATTGCAGCTGCTTTTTCTATGGTACGACGGGAGGAACTTCGCCGAAAGGTAATGTTGGGAGACAAGAACTCTAAATCCTCCGATGTATCTGCCTTAGTAGCAAAACATAATCCTCGTCCCCCTTGTGATACAAAACGTTCTGACCGATGGTGTTCTCATTGCAATAAGAGTGGTCACACTCGCGAAAAATGTTGGGAAATTCATGGAAAACCACCAAACTGGAAAACAAAGGGGCTGAACAAGAGTCGTGCTTATCAAATCTCTTCTGATGATAAGGGTGAGGAGTCTCGTGCCTCTCCAAATTCCGATAGTGTATTCATCCCTAAAGCTCAGTATGAGCAATTTCAGAAGGTGATGTCTCAATCTGCTGAGGCAACTAGCCATGTTGCTCAACAAAGTATGGCATTCCATGTTGATCGTAGTAATCGTTGGATTCTTGATTCCGAAGCTTCTGATCATATGACAGGTAATGCAACCTTGTTCTGTTCTTATACCCCTTATTATCACCAGTCACGAATAAGGACTGCTGATGGTAGTTTCTCTAATATTGCGGGAAAGGGATCCATTAAGCTCTCTGAACATATTACTCTGAATTCTGTCCTTCATGTCCCTTCTCTTACTTGTAACCTTATTTCTATTAGTAAACTTTCCTCTGAATTGCATTGTGTTGCTAAATTTTCTGCCAAAACCTGTGTTTTTCAGGAACAGGATTCGGGGCTGATGATTGGCAATGCTAGAGAGGAAGAAGGGCTTTACTATTTTGAAGAAGATTCTCATGAAAAGAGATTTTTTGCAAATCACTCTTTATGTTTATCAGATGATTGTAATGATGTCTTGTTGTGGCATCGTCGTTTAGGACACCCAAATTTCTTTTATCTTCAAAAGTTGTTTCCAAACTTATTTATCAATAAAAAACCAAGTTCCTTTTGTTGTGATGATTGTCAATTTGCAAAACACTCTCGTGTTTCTTATTCCCCCAGAGATTATCATGTTTCGTCTCCATTTACATTGATTCATAGTGATATTTGGGGACCAGCTCGTGAAAAAAATATATCTGGAGCTCGTTGGTTTATTACCTTCATTGATAATCATTCCAGAGTATGCTGGGTATATCTTCTAAAGGATAAGTCTGAAGCTGTAGCCACTTTTAAAAACTTTCATGCTATGGTACAAACTCAATTCCAGACTTCTATCCAAATCCTGCGAACTGACAACGGTACTGAATATTTCAATTCTGTTCTTGGTGATTACCTAACCAAGCAAGGTATTATCCATCAAAGTTCTTGTCCTAACACCCCTCAACAAAATGGGGTGGCTGAAAGAAAAAATAGACATCTCATTGAAGTTGCTAGAGCCCTCTTGTTTACAATGCATGTCCCTAAATACCTATAGGGGGAGGCTGTCTTGACTGCCTCATATCTCATCAATCGAATGCCCTCTCGTGTCCTGAATTTTCATTCTCCCATATCTTGCCTTACCCGCTCTTTTCCCTCCTTTCGGGCTCTATCTTACCTTCCTCCAAAATTGTTTGGCTGTGTGGTTTTTGTTCATATTCCTCCACATCAAAGGTCCAAACTTGATCCTAAGTCTGTTAGATGTGTCTTCATAGGATATCCTCCTAATCAAAAAGGTTACAAGTGCTACTCACCTTCTCTTCGAAAGGTCTTTGTTTCTATGGATGTTACTTTTTATGAAACACAATCATTTTTTCCCTCGACTTCTCTTCAGGGGGAGTCTATTGGTGTAAATGAAGATATGTCTTGGATTCCAAATAATTCTACTGTCTTACCTTTACCCTTGGAAACATCTGTTGTTCCTCTACCTATGGAGACAGGGGGAGTTAATGTACAGGAGACAAGGACAGCAATTGTACCAGAGACTGGAGATCCTCCCGGTAAATGGGGAAAATTCTACAGCAGGCGTAAATCTCCTCAAGATCCTCTAGACTGTCAGGATTCTGACCCGAGTCCTAGTTCCAGCAATCCACTTGAGAACACTGGTACAGCTAACCTAGATATGCCTATTGCCCTTCGAAAAGGTACTAGATCTTGCACTGCTCATCCTATTTCTCATCACATTTCATATGAAAAGTTATCTCCAAGTTTTCGTGCTTTCAACACTATATTAGACGGTACAAAAATACCAAAAAATATCCAAGAGGCACTTAATGACCCTAAATGGAGGGATGCTGTCTTTGAAGAAATGGATGCACTCAGAAAAAATGGAACTTGGGAGTCCGTGGCACTTCCCAGAGGAAAGAAAACTGTAGGTTGCAAATGGGTGTTCACAATAAAATTTAATGCAGATAACAGCATCAACAAATATAAGGCCAGATTGGTTGCCAAAGGATTTACTCAGACTTATGGGATAGACTATCAGGAGACGTTTGCTCCCGTTGCCAAACTTAACTCTATTCGAGTCCTACTGTCACTTGCTGCCAACCTTGATTGGCCCTTGCATCAATTGGACGTAAAGAATGCCTTCTTAAATGGGGACTTACATGAGGAAGTTTACATGGATCCACCACCTGGTTTTGAGGAGGGAAATGGTTCTGTATGCATGTTGAAGAAGTCTCTTTATGGACTTAAACAATCCCCTAGAGAGTGGTTTGACAAGTTTACTCGTGCTGTTAAAGGAAGAGGATTTATCCAAGCTCAGACTGATCACACTTTATTTTTTAAACACTCCGATAGTGGTAAAATTGCTATCCTCATTGTTTATGTTGATGACATAATTGTCACAGGTGATGACTGGGAGGAAATAAAATCTTTAAAGGGGGGTTTAGCTAATCAGTTTGAACTGAAGGACCTTGGATCACTCAAATATTTCCTTGGAATGAAAGTTGCTCGTAGCAAGGCAGGAATCTTCTTATCTCAGAAGAAATATATCCTAGACCTGCTACAAGAAACAGGTATGCTTGGGTGCAAGCCTGCAGAAACTCCAGTTGAACCCAATATTAAATTGGGAATTGAAGATGGAGAAGATGTTGACAGGGAGTTGTACCAAAGGTTGGTAGGAAAGCTGATCTACTTATCTCACACTCGGCCTGATATTGCATTTGCAGTTAGCATGGTTAGCCAATTCATGCATTCTCCTAAGGAAAAACACCTTAGTGCGGTTTATAGAATCCTCAAGTACCTCAAAAACACCCTTGGTCTGGGAATGCTCTTTAAAAGAGGACACAAGAGGATGATAGAAATCTATACAGATGCTGATTGGGCTGGCTCTGCAATGGACCGAAGATCCACTTCAGGATATTGTACCTATGTCTGGGGAAATCTTGTGACCTGGAGAAGTAAGAAACAAACTGTTGTTGCCAGAAGCAGTGCAGAAGCAGAATTTCGGGCACTAGCCCATGGCATTTGTGAAGGAATCTGGTTAAGAAGACTCCTTGAAGAATTAAAGATATCTTATTCTCTACCTGTCAGACTCTATTGTGATAATAAGGCTGCTGTCAGTATTGCTCAAAATCCTGTACATCATGATAGAACCAAACATGTGGAGGTTGATCGTCACTTTATCAAAGAAAAATTGGAGGAGGGTAGTGTATGTTTGTCATATATACCTACCAAGGAGCAAACAGCCGACATTCTCACCAAAGGGTTACACAAACCCATCTTTGAGGATTTAATTAGCAAGTTGGGGATGATCAATATATATCTCCCAACTTGAGGGGGAGTGTAGAATATTCTAGAGTTTCTTTTTAGAGTCTAGTCTCTTTGATTAGTGTGATGCCTCTTCGTTTGTTGTGTACTTTTATTTATTACTTCAACTTCTTAACTACCTTGTAATCTGTATATATAGAACCCTTTGGGTGTCAATCAATATATGAAAAACATTTATGTCTTATATTTCATCAGTTACAAATCAAACAACAAAGGAGAGAGAAAAAAAGACAGAAGAATCTTTACGAGAAAGGGAAGATTGATCAAAAGTTTTTATTCCTTCATTTGAAGGATGATTAACAACTAGGAAAAAGTGAGTCCCTTTCCCATAAGTTGTTAGGCCTACTCATTTTCAACCAATATAAGAGTGTGTTTGAATGAGCTTCAAAATAAAAAATAAAAAATTTGGTTTTTCCCTAGCTTAACTTTCATACTTCTGGGGGAAAAAACATTTCAAAAGCTAATTTTGAGAAGGTGTTCAAACACTAAAAAGTACTTCTAGAAGATTGCATCAAAATGCAAAATAGCTTTTACATTTTACAAAAGATCTTTAAGAAGTGTTCAACAACAAAAAGACATTTGCTCATCCAAACAAGTACTTAGAGTTCCATAAATCAAAAGAACATGGAAAAAAAAAAAAGCAAATATAAAAATGAGATTAATATACAGAGAAATTGGAGAGCTTCTTTTTTTTTCGAGGGGGGTCGAGAAGGTGAAGGAGATTGGTCAGCTTTACTTATTTGTTTTTTCTTTTTAATTTCACTTTTGGTTTTAGGTAGTTTCTTTTGGAGGATATCTTATCATTTGTTTCTCACTTCTATAATGAAACTTCTTCTATTATCAAAACAAAAAGAAATTAAGATGAGATTGAAATATTTGAAGTCTAAGCCTTTAACAATGACAATAAGCAAATGAAGTTTTGAATATGTACAAAAGGAAAAAAAATGGGTGAAAACAAGGAAATGTTGAAATTATAGGGAGAACTTGGAAACGAGAAAGAGAAAAATAAGACCCAGAATGATATTTTATGCATGTCATACGCTTAATATTCATCCCATATTTTAAGCATAACATCCTTTAACTAAATGTCAAATCCAAACTTAACAATATGCCATCTTAAGTAATTGCCGGAATCCCATATTTATTCATATTCTTTCCGAGCAATGTAAAGAAATCTAACAATGATACAAAGAGGAAGAACATTGGATTGCTTAGGGAAAAAAAAAAGGCAAAAAGATCATTAATAAAGCTGAAACCCGGTTGGTAAGCAACTTTTAGTTGCTTAATTGAACTTCTAAAGTGAAAACTTACAGTTATGGCCTCGCGCTGATATTGATTGAAAGTACTTTCAACGTATTCCTTCAAAGGTATTGGGATTTTCCAACCCCCAACTTCGGTAGCAAAACTATCTCCAGCAGCATTTAATATTATATCCTTGTATGGGAGAAAGCTTATGGTTCGTACAGCCAAATACTCACGAGCAATGGTGGATAAACTGCACATCTGCATGATTCTTACATTTTCTCAAAGGCCAAACTAATTTATAAGAAAACAATAACGAAAATTCCCTACATCTTCTTTTATAAACTAATAACACAATTTATTAGTCCAGGATGGAAGCCACCTAAGTATAAAAAACATACAATATCAAAACAACATTTGATTGAATATTTCTGAGAGATGAAGTCTTCAACATTCTATAGAGAGAAATGGAAACTTAAGAGTACAAAAGAAGTAGAAAATTACATAAACATCAAGAATCTATATGCTATAGAATTAAATGCAAAGCCAAATACACGGAGGATGAATTTCAAAACTTTTTCAAAATGCAAAAGTCGAGGAAACAGGTAAGATCTGCACCACAAAATAATCATAGAAGTGAACAAGGAAAGAATAAAACAAGTTACCTTCATAAAATACAGCTGTCTCTCTGTCTCGCATATATGAGAACGCATATTAAACAGCCTTGGGCAAGATTGTACATTATCTGTATTAAAATGCAAGAACTCTCCAGCTAAATAGAGTCTAACTCGAACAAGCCGTGCATCAGAAAATTTTCGTACGTTTTCCACCAAAGCAAATGCATACACAGTGGGTAATCTTTTTCCATCCAAAAACTGCAGAGAGACAAGTATTGACAGGAAAAAAAAAAATAAAGAAAAAAAGTCAGTTTGAACAGGCGAAAAATTGAAATAATTCAGGGAAGAAATAACGCAACAAAAAGACACAATGCAATATCCAATAAAAGCACATCATAGCATGACCTGCAATGTCCAAAAACACACAATCTCTGATCATTAGTACCTTGCCTTTTGAAAGCAGCAAAAGATCATTCTGCGATATTGATTCTCCCTCCTTGATTTCACAAGGAAATTCTATAAAATGAAATCCATCCGCCTCGCTGCAACTTTTTACCACCCCCAGCTTCCATTCAGTCACTACAATTCACACACACACAAAAAAAAAAGTGTTCTTTAGCCAACCCCATTTGACAAAATCCAAACTTTAAAACATGGAAAGCAATTCCCATTCCTTAATTTTAAAAGACAAAAAGGAGAACCACAATTTAGTCAAAGATTTACATGCCATCAGGCTACATAGGTGCAAAACATGAAATGTATACAAAAAGCTAAAGACCAATGTCATTAACAACACTACAATAGTAATCCATTGAAAGAAAAAAATATAAAAAGGCAATAAAGATGCAAAAAATTGATTTTAAGAATACCCTCTTCGTCCTCTTTCTCTTTAATGATCTGGGATTTGGCTTCTTCAAAAATGAGGGGTTCGTAGGTGGAAATATAATCATCAACGTCTTTGTATTGACTCTTCACCTTGACGAGTCTCGATGCTGACCCAATAGCGGTCTCTTTTTCCCCTCTGTTTTTCTGCTCCTGAAAACACCAAATTTCACAGAGTTAATGGATTTTAGAATCGAAAAAAACAAAAAGAGAGAAAGAGTAAAGAGTGAGATTAAATTCCTTGGATTCCTTAATGAGACGAAAGTAGTCCCAACTAAGAATAATCTGGTAGAAGCGACGGATTACAGATTCTTCCTCAAGCTTTTCCTTGTCCACCGCCATAATAACATAACAGAGGGAAAAGAGAACAACTGAAGAACAAGAGAAACAGGGTTTTAAGAAAGGGTTTATCGAGTATCATGTTACACAACCAGAAACGGAATTACTACAGACCCATCGATTTGTGTGTAGCCATTTTTCCTTTTTTTTTCTTTTCTAAAACATGTGGGCTCATATCTTAATTTGTGTGTATGATATTATCTAATGAATTTCCTGTAACATAATATTTGTGTTTTCCTTTAACAAAAATCCCTTTGGAAGAAATGATATTTAATTGATAATTTGAAAGACATAAAATATTTAAAAATTACTAGATTAATATAGTGTGTGTAAAATTATGGCTTTAATGATTGTCATTGACATAAAATAAAAATTATGAGGGAGAAAATGAATGGCTTTTTTAATTTAAATTTTAAATAAAAAATATTTTCTTGTATTCATCTCTTATTTTTTTTGTTTATCTCTTTTAAAATGACATAATTTTATGTCATTTAAAATGACAAATATTTTTTTCTAAAATTAAATAAGTTGAAATATGAGAAATTAACAAATAAAGTATATTGGAAAAACAATTAATACAGATATTTTCTTTGTGTTAATTTTTTACAGTCTTAGTAATGAAATTAGTCTCGCGTTATTTGAGGATACACAAATAAAAGAAAAAACGCTCTTCAAAAGAAATGTTTTTCATTTTTTTTGTCTAAATAAATATTGTAAGTTCGTAAGGACCGAAAATTTTCTATTATTTAAGAGGGATGTCTAAATCATATGTGGGAATTCTTATAATTTTATAAAGTAGGTTGTAATGAAAAAGTTTGGGACAAATAAAATTTTATAAACATTTGAAAATTTAAATTGAACAGGGTGCCCTTGCTCTTGATAAAGCCTTCCTTAACAAGGAGGGCATTTATGTTTTTTAACCTAAATTTTATAAATAAATTGAAATTCAACTCTTTTTTCATATTCTCATGCTCTTCGGCCAACCCCTTCTCCATCTTTGCAAAGCAAGCTTCCACCATTTTCCACTCAACATTTAACTCTCCTAAGGCACTATAACCATCTTTCATCGTCATCCTTCTCCACACCTTTAATTTTTGAGCTTGCCTTCAAGTTAGGACAGAATATCAGACTTGTGCCAAAAGTGTGTGCATGTGTCATCATCAAGGCAAAGTTTTGGGGTTTTTGACCACTATAGCCTTTTTTTAATAATTAATTACCAAATTGACCCTATTTATAAACTATTTCAAAAATTTAACCTCTCCAGAAAACATAACACCAATCTGCCCCTGTTTGACCGTTGACCATGAAGCCTACCCGGGTACACCCCTACCTACCCGGGTAAATTTTAAAATTTTTTACCTACCCGGGTACACCCCTCCCTACCCGGGTATATTTCTTGAATCTGGAAAATGTTTGAATTATTTACCCGGGTAGGGAGGGGTGTACCCGGGTAAATAATCATAAACTGGTTGTGTGCGCCCATCCTCTTTGTGTGAACAGCAAATGAAAATCTCTAAATTGAAGGACTAACGCATGGAGAACAAAATCTGAAAACAGGTTATTGATGAAAGATATTCCACTGGATCATATGCCTGAGATTAGTGAAGCAAATAATCAAGGTTCTGCTCCAACAAAGGATGCTATTACATGTCACCAGTCAGACAATTCAAAAAAATGTTCAGAATTAGAGGTGAAGGAATTGGGCGTTGACAAGCTTGAGTTGTGGAAAACTGTAAAAGAGACAACTGAAGATGGCAAGAGGAAGATGTTGGAGAGGGTTGTCTCAGATGCTCAGAAATTGGCCATTCTTAAAATGACTCTGCAAGGTTTGAAAAAGAAACCAGAAACAAAGAAGAAAAGCAAGAAGAGAAAAGCATGAGTTATGATTATTTACCCGGGTACACCCCTCTCTACCCGGGTAAATAATTCAAACATTTTCCAGATTCAAGAAATATACTCGAGTAGGGAGGGGTGTACCCGGGTAGGTAAAAATTTTTAAAATTTACCCGGGTAGGTAGGGGTGTACCCGAGTAGGCTTCATGGTCAACGGTCAAACAGGGGCAGATTGGTGTTATGTTTTCTGGAGAGGTTAAATTTTTGAAATAGTTTATAAATAGGGTCAATTTGATAATTAATTATTAAAAAAAGGCTATAGTGGTCAAAAAACCCAAAGTTTTGGGCTAAGAGGACAACTTGTGACTTGAACTCTGAAGTGGGACTTTCCCTTGGAACTTGCGTGGTGTTTAGTATAGGAGATATTTTTTTTACCGAGAAAAAAAGTTTTTTGAAAATATGGTGGAAAAAAATTTCCCAAATAAGTTACGTGTTTGGTGGGCCAAATTTTTTTCGAGAAATTGAATTAATTGCACTGATGCTATGTTTGATTGATTGTAAAATATTGACGGGAATCCGTACTGAGATTACAAAATTACCCTTGATTTTAGATATGTCTGTTTGATTGTGTTCTGATTTTTTTGTTTTTAAAACTGTTTTGTAAAATAGTTATGGAAACAGTTATTTTCTATATTTTTTAATTTTTGAAAGTTAAAAACCAAAACAGAAAATAAAAACAACTTAGGGATGTTATCTAAATTTGATTCTAAAAACAAAAAAACAGTTATAGTTTTCAAAACACTTTTTACAAAACAGGCCTTACCAAACGAATTTTTTAGTTTTTTTGTTCTAAAAAGTAAAAAACTGTTTTTAAAAACAACAATCAAACAGAGCCTTGGGCCTGTTTGATTATGTTTTAGTTTTTTTGTTCTTAAAACTGTTTTGTAGAATAGTTATAGAAACAGTTGTTTTCTGTATTTTTTTTTGTTTTGAAAATTAAAAACCAAAACAGAAAACAAAAAGGCCCTCACCTAACACCTTAAAGTTTTGGGTTGAAGTGGTTCTTTACTATTACAAACAGGTAATCATGAAGAAAGAAAGAATTATGATCTCCATATTCTTGAAAGGAGAAGAGAAAAATGAATCTTGTATATTTCTATGTATATAGCTGATACATTATCACAAAAAAATGGATGCAGGTTTGGATATGGAAATGTGAAAATCTTGCAACACAAATTTCAGCCATTGTATTTCACAAGACAAGGAGGCAAGGGCTCGATATTCAACTTCTGCTGAGGATCTGGAAACGGTATTTTGCTTCTTTGATCTCCATGATACTAGAGAAGTTCCCAGAAAAACATGTAAGCCTGAAACTGAATGCATTGTGTCCGGACAACATGCCCAGTCGCTATCAGTGAATCCTAATAATTGTAATGTATTGTCAGATGGGAAGAACAGACCTTGTGCTGGAGAGGATTTTATATATCTCAAAACACGATGTGCAGCTGCCATATGCAAAGTAGAAGGTAATGAAACAAATTGACTGAGTTGGTGTACTGCAAATGATAAGTCAGGTCTGGTGGTTGTGAGATATAGCAACCGACCAACCAACCTACGATAAGGCAAAGTCAAGTTTATGTGGAAATCATTTCCATTTAGACCACCTATATGTTCTTATGCAACGATGTGTTTCCAAAGCAATTCAATTTTTTCACACAACCAAAGCTAGGGGTGGGGGTAATATTTTCGTTTGAAAAATGGCTAACTATTTTCCCACCTCCGAGAAAAAAAATAATACCATGCCATCAATGGCTTTCTCCACTGAGAATCGACAGTGTAATACAAAATGCCAGGAAAAAAAAATTTGTTGATATTTTTTTTCACTTTCCTCCTACCAAATGTGGGAAAATTAATTTCCCACCCCACTTTCCCAAGATTTCCAAAAAAATCCATATACCAAACACCCCCGAAGTAAAGTCAAGTGTTAACCGCAGCCTTGATTGCTTCTGCCTGTAGGAGAGGAGCACGAAATTGAAAGGGAATCTTAAGTGAGCTTGTTTCCTTGGATTGACTACAACTAAGTAAGTTTAAGGAAAAACCCTGTTTCTTTTTTGTTCATTGCCTAATTCGTTTATGTATTAAGAAATGAGATGTATTCCCCTTTTGTTTATGTGTTGTTTTGAAGCTAGATGTTGAGTGTATTCCCCTTTTGTTTATAGTTAGTCATATATGGGTTAATCTGACCCTACTTGAATGCAAAAAGGAATACTTCATCTCATGATCAAAATGTGCAAATCTGTTTTCGTATGCCATTAGAAATTTTATGGGAGATAATTACGATGTATTGGGATATGTTAGACCCTATGTGAAGCAAAAAATTCAAGTCATAAGTCCCCTATAAATTTTATACAAAAATCTGGTATTCTGTTGTTAAATATCTGAATATTCCGGTGTCTGGGACATCCAGATATATAAACAATGCATATCCAGATATGTGAACAATGCATACCCCGATACCTTTCGTACATACAGCTTGTTTGGTTTTGTACTGATTCTTGTGACCTTATATTATTAGTACCTTATGTTTAAGACATACAAGGACTACAGAATATATATATATATATATATATATATATATATATATATATATATATATATATATAATGGCCATATAATAGGTGAACATGTATAAGAGATGACAGAAAAATGATCATTACTTAGTTGTGCTATATTTAAATGAATAGATACATCTGTGGGTGTGACTTGCTATTCCCATGTGTTTAACATTATCATTATACCAGAATTATGGTTGTGATGTAGAATTGATGGTTGAGGCATGTTGGTTGAGCATATATATTTATATGGATTTGATCGTAGTTTCTTCTACTTATGCTTTTACCTAATATAGTAATATTATAGTAGTTGACATTGCAAGGGACGCTTTGCCATGATTGAGCTCAATTCACATACATATCAGCTAATGCAAGTGAGTGGACATACAGTAGCTTATGGGTAGCGAGTCTTAAGACCATACATCATATATCTTATAGTTGCACATACAGTAGCATGTGAACGATGAGTCGTATGACAATAAAATATAGACATTGGAGGCTTGTTATGATTTTATTGTATCATCGCATTATTGGTGAAATTGTACATGAAATATAACCCAATTATAAGTACTTATGTGATACGAGTACCACCGCGAACATATGACTGAATGATGGATAGAAATAGGGGATCTTTCCTTAGACTT